CAGATTGTATTTGCTGAGAAGGTCATTGTATAGATCATAGAACTTGCGAAATGATGACTTCAAACGAGACTGTTGATATCCTTTTTTCATCAAATTGTTGGTTAAAAGCTTGCCTCTTTTTAAAAATTTATTGTACGTAGAGGATGCTCTTGCGTATCGAATCAACTGGGAGACATAAACCCCATATGCAGGTGATAAGGGTATCTTAGATTAATCTTTTATAGATCAAAGATCTGTTCCTGAATATATCTCTGTATTCATTTCCATATCTCTCTATACATGTCCATATCTTTAATTGCAAATTTTTTATGAAGCAATTGGATCAAAATATACATCATTGGTTATTTTGTTTTTCAAAAAGTCAAAGATTCATCTTTACTACATTTCTAAAGGCATTATATGTGCTCACTTGAATAAGTATGTACAAGTAATGAAATAACGATTTTATACACTTGATAATGAAATTTGATCATCACGCAATATGCAAATTCCACTTCAGTAGTTTGGTCTCATCCCAGAAGCAACCAGTTATTTTTTAATCTTAATGTTGCTTGCAAATATTCCAAAATTTGGGTATTAGAATTGTTAGTATATAAATTTACAACCCTCCATTTTTGGAATACATTTTGAATTGCATGATTATTAAAGCTAAACGTATATAAGTTAAAATAAAAATTTAAGTTCTTAAAGTACTCATCTTTCCACCCGAAAAAAATATTATTTATGCAATAAGGTACACAAAATTATACTTAATCGGAAAAAAAATTCTGATTGTGTTTCTTAAACATTCAGAGCAAAAAATGATTAAAACTTATTAAAAATCATTCCATACTAAGAAAAAAAATCATTAGCCTAAGGGCTTTATTTTGAACAGAAGTTACAAGCATAAGAAGATAATATTGATATAAAACGTTTTAAGTGAAGAACAATACAAGAAACGGAAAAAATAAGAATCATTTATACAGTTATGCGAAGATTTATGAAGAGTCTAAATTCTGTTGTTAAGAAAGATCCCTTTTTATTTATTGATACATGAAATCAGTATTTTCTGTTGTTTATGAGATAAAAGTGCACAAATATTTGCAGATTGTGTAAAAACAAAACGGAATCTGTTGATAACATTAAGTATGGCCCTGGTTAGGACTATTAAAACTGCAGTTCTCCTGATAAGGCTAATTGAAACGTGTTTGTAGAATGGTTCATTTATCTCCCATTGGATAAAATACAGAAAACATCGGCTTAAGGAACATTACGCTCCGCCTCTGATACGATAAAAGTACAAAACTCCCAGTTAGTAAACCTTTAATTTATAAACATATTAAATGTGGTGCATTTTTCTTCCAACCTCTGCTGAACTTGTCCACAAAGAGCCTTTTGTAACCTGACAGTTGTTTTCACGGAAATGAAAAAGTCCAAAAGAAAAAAAAAAGAAACACCGGTTCATACAAATAAAAGTACCAAACGTAAGAGAGAAAAAAATGTATAATACTTTAATGAATTATTTTCCCTTCATTTGTTTTGGAAATGTTATTCTTCTTTTTTGTGAATGTTTGTTTATTTTGTTTATTATAAAAGTTATAAAGGTAAAATGCTTATGCTTTTTCAGATATTTTTAAAATCAGCTTTATTTTAAGTTAAATTAATGTTATTCTTCTTTTTTTGTAAATGTTTGTTTATTTTGTTTATTATAAAAGGTAAAAAGGTACAATGCTTATGCTTTTCAGATATTTTTTAAATCAGCTTTATTTTAAGTTTATCATTGTTCATTTTGTTCTAAAACAGTAAAGGAATGTGATTAGATTTCCTGTGATACAATGTAATAAATGTTGTTCATAAAATGGAATAAGAACAGTTGGTAGCATTTTTTAAAGTCGGTGTAAATAATGTACGAACATATCACAACTGACCTGATTCGATATTTGACGACCAAAAATCAGAAACATACTGATGTAAATATACACATATATAAAATTGAAATTAAATTAGGCATAGTAATTAAGATTAAGTACATGAAATCACCTTCTTTTAGAATAAAAAAAAAAATAATAATACCGTATAAATATTTTCTAGGTTTAAATTAGGCCTTTTAAACCAAAATAATAAATCTTTTTTTTTCAGGACATAATATTTGTAGTTCAGCACGGAGAAGAGACGATTTTTTCGTAAATATTTCTGCTATGTCGCTACAGTCCCAGGAGAAAATGTCGACCTGTCATAGGAACATTCTTCTATCGTCTGTTCCTTATCTAGGTCATTACGTCACAGTTTAATCAAGTAATCCGGGTATCTCGCTGACACTATTCCAATTTAGAAGTGACAGGAAAGATGGCTGATTACTCAACAAGAGAAATCTTATTTCAGTCACCGCGGGTTTCCTGTTTCTTTTGAAGGAATGATATTTTCACTAATCTTTTCAAAACACAGCAAATTTTTCAGAATACAAATTTATAGATTTAATTTGTTGTGTATTTGTTTTATTTTTAAATTCTATAGGACGGTGTTTAGAAATACAATTAAAATATACTTTAAACTTTGCAATTTCTCCGTAGTTCCGTCGTCCCTGAAACTGTTGCATTTTTAAAAAAAATTCAAGCATATAAATAAATCGTCAAAATAATGTCAACCAACTATGCACATATGCCGAAAAAGCAAACTAGGAAACAAGTGAATAGTCTGACTTTTGTTCATAATGCATCCAAAATTAGATTATGAAAATCAAAGAACATTATTTGGTCATAATTTGTTTTTTAAGCTTTTTTTACAGGCGAACAATAATTTTCATTTTTTTTTTAATTAAATCAATACATACATGTAGATCCAGACGATTTTTCCTTCAATGACAACAATAGTTAAAAAAAAATTCCAAAAGATATTTATGTAGTCCTTTTCTAAAAATAACAAACTATTTATCTTGATAGGCATTTATTTGCTAAATCTTTAAACCAGTTAAAGTAAGAAAATAAGCAGCAAAGGAACGAAAATATCATTATTTCAACAGAACTTTTCTCAGCTTTATCTCAACTTCAACATAAAATAAAAGTTTAAATTATGTAAGGCTTTAGAAAATATTCATATATTTCTATAAAACAATTATTAGCCTCTACGTAGTAATTATGTTTATAACTTTCTTCTAAATTACATTCCTTTAATATCAATTAAATCGGGTACCCATAACAATTGTACTGAAAACAGAGTATGTCAACACTAGTGTATCTATCTTATGACCCAAGTCGTAATGTGTCGGTTTGGTAAACACAGATATCATTTCTAAATTAGACACATATTAGCATTTAGCCACGAAAAGTCTTCCTCAAACCGTCTTATCGTGTATTCGTAGTGGGAAAGATACAGCCCCCGTGTCCCCGTAATAACCACTATCTCTCATTTCACCCCTTACGGAAACATTCTTGGGATGAGACAGAGAGAACCGCTAAGTGCTATCATATTACGTTGTAGATTTGTTTACCTGTAAACAAATCCGCCTCAATTTCAAGATACAAATTTCTATCTGTAGTGAAAAAAGTCGTTGACAAGCAAAATCCATCTGTTTACTTTCTCACACAATGTCAAGTGAATTGTATAATAGAAAATAAGATATTTTTCAGATTTCTTTCCTTTTTTTAATTTTGAAAACGTCTAAAAGCAATCTTTGAAACAGAAAAAATATGAAAGGAAAGCAGTGCAATAGAAAATGATCCGATTTATCATTTTATTGGTAAAAGAGAGCAGATTTATTATTTTTTTTAAATGTAGAAGATTTAGCGCGCATTTTATTTAATTTAAATTTGCATTTATTAAGGATTGAAAAAAAAATATATAAATATTTTTAAGGCAAAAATTAAAAGTAAAATATCGATAAATAGTAGCGGTTCGATGTTCAGGGGAGAAATGTAGAAATTTAGGGAAGAAATATATTTTTACCACACTAAAATGCATCACCTTTATAGAAGAAAAGATCAATTTCTTATTTTTCCCATTTAGCGCTTTCTTAGTTAACTGTAACATTTACGGACAGGGTCCGATTTCATTGGAGCCTTTCCACTTTTTGCCACTTTCCTAATTATATATCTCTGAAATTTTTAATTCCATACTTCAACTAAGCTATATAGTGTTATAAAAATAAATTTCTTTGCGTATAAAGTTAGAGACTATCTATTTCATCTACATTTTTTTTTTAAATTACATGTTCAGTTATACTCTCTTTATCAAAAGAGAAAAAAAAGTAATTACATTATATATGTATTTACAAAAATAAAGACCTTTTAATTCTGCAAAACAACATCACAGTCTTAAAGGTTAACCACGAAGTTTTCCCTAAACAAATCCGCCTTCATTCTGTATTTACATGACTGTTGAGCCTGTATAAATCAGACAACTTCATAATTTTCTCACGGGTTCTACAGTTACCATGGCACGCGGAATCTCGCGGTCTTCTATTGGATAAAATTCCTGCGTGATGTGTCTGCATCCTACAGTGTTGTCTTATATCGGCTCCTGTTATTCTGTACATTGTCTAGCAAGTGCTTTTTCTGGTTTTTACACTTTAGTTGCCTCTAGAAAAGCTTTAGTGCGAATACTCGAAAACTGAAAATAATAGTATAGTCTTTTGAGTTTTTCCGGGATTTTTTTTTCTGATACCATATCTTTTGTCAGTGGTTTTCTTTACTTTCATGTCATAATGGTTACTTACTTTTGGTTTGGAAAACGCGACACGTAATGTTTTGATTTTTTTTTTTTTTGGCAAGAACCCTACATTAATGAAATATTTTGTCTAAAAACATCGCTAGGGTATATTGAATAAAACTCATTCGAAGTAATTTAAATTCCAAACCTATACCTTTAAATAATTAATGTTGAAGTAGAAACCTGAACTTTGTTTGAAAAACTTTTCATACTACAAAATACCCAATTTAAAGATAATTCAGAATTTATAATGGATATTACTATAGGATGTTTAGTATCGTTACCTATATAGAAAACAGAAGATCTACACATTGAAGTGTTTTTCAGATTCAATTTTATTGCTTTTGACCATACCTCTTCATCGCTTTCAACGTTTGTACAAAATAAACACACAATCATACAGAAGATCACATTTATAAAGGTTTTAACAATGTTAGGGGCATATGTCATCACATCATATAATTGTCATCTCTACACCATAAGTCAACAATAAACCACTCCGTAAAAAACTCAATACATAAAACATCACAAATAACAAATGTCGATGAATATGTTTTTAACAAAAATGATATATATGATGTTGAATTCTCTTAAAGTTATGTTAATCTTTTATGATTAGGAATGAGATATGTAAATCTATTTCTATAAAATGCATTTCATTTGATGATATAATTAAAGATAAAAACACCACATGTATACCCTCGGTTGTGGGGGGCGAAAAAAGAGAAGAATATATTTATTTGAGTAAAATCTGGTAACACAGCGTTCCAAAAATGTACTACTAAAAATTGGAACATTTCATAAATGGCATAAATCTACCTACATTTATTCTAATTACAATTTTACCTAACAATAAACAAAAGAATTGTGTGCTTATACAAATGCTTTAAATAATAATGTAATGCTACAACAATTATAATGTACATCGGAAATAGAAATATTGCACCAATGCCCGGATGTTTTATTTATATTGCACACATTAAATAAAAATAATTCATGCTTTACATTATCAGTCTATACAATAATATGATTTAATCAAGTGCCACATCTGAATTCTACATGAAAGGCAGATTTGCACATAGGCCTTGCAAGTCCATTGTAAATGTCACTCAATTAAAACAGTCATAAATATTTAATCAAGTGATTTACCATCTACAGTAGATAGCTAGAATATATTATAAATAAGTCAATCAATAAATTATGTGATATTTAATTATGTTTTATTTCAACTAAGTAAACAAAAGCTTTATTAATGCCTACATAAGTTTTATCATTAATTCAAAAGATAAAAAAAATGAATAAATATCACAAGTAATCATTAACTGCCCTGTTTATAATTAGAAGAGCAGATTAATGTTTATGTCACATACACCCCGTGTCTGATCACGCACTCCTGTGTTTTCTGCGTTTGCTATCTACACATTTTACATAACTTTTATACACTTCATATCACAGGCTGCTTTGAAAAAAGGACCTAAAAAGTTATCAAGCATTTTTTTCATATAAAATTTATGAAATGCACTTCAAATTTTATTTCCAAAATTGTACTTTGATAAAGTTTTATAATAAAAAAGTGAATAATTTTTGTAAGTAAAGTTATTCGTAAATCAACAAAATAAATTTCAATGAAATACTTTTGTTCATGTTAACTAAAAATATTTAAGAATTCATTTATTTAATACCTTACCTAGATATATACTTTGGTCAATCAAAACTTTGGTAATGCCAGTAAGTAGTCATACTCCTGAAACAGAGCGTGAATGTCCTTAGTAAACTGGATAATATCAATAGATGTCGAATTGTGAAAATCAGTATTTGGACAACTTACTGTACAATGTAAACTTTTTTACCAGATATATTGTTCGTCTGTTGCTTTTTTTTAAATACAAAATTAAGAGAAAAAAAAAGACTAAACTCTGGTGAAGTTCAAGATCATTCTTGGACTGTCTTCATTTTAGAAAAAAAAGCAATATGTTTTTTTTCAAATTCTAATGAAAAATGTAAATGTAAAATTCCTTAAGAAGATGTACAGATTTAAGGCCCTTAGCACATGCAGTTTTTAATCCCTATTTCTTTAAAATTTATGGAGTTACAATTATTTTAAGATAAAAAAGAAACTCCGTGTGAAGTAAGTCATGTAAGTTAAATATATAAATATATTATCCACGTGCACGGTACCAACAACAAACTGATATGGAAACAAACGTAGGAATTCAAGCAAAACTGTTAAAAGAAATAAATTAAATCTCAGCGGAACAATGATGATGTGTAATCTCCTTTTTTAAAATTTTTATTTTTTAAATTTCAAAAACAGTAAAGCATGTCATACAAAAATCTATGAAATTATGCATTAATTGGTTTAATTAAAATACATGTAATGTGATATTCCATTAAAAAAAAGCGTTTTTATCCTTTCTGTGATATTTTGTTTCTTATTCATTTTTTGAAAAGATACAATTTCAAAACAATACTTCTTACAAAAAAATAATTAAGAAATGATGGTTGCTATTTAACTTAAATAAAAAAAAAAATAGGGATGAGTATTCTGTGCTATTTACTCTATCAAGTAAATATGCATTTGCTATTATCGAAAGAAAAATGATATACAGAAAAGAGAGAGAAATATTAATTTTAAGATATATATATATATATATATATATATATATATATATATATATATATATATATATATATATATATATATATATATATATATATATATATGTCTGAACTGTAAATCATACGAAAAAAAGTTATGAAAGTCTATAAAATTCAAATTTAGCTAGAAAAATTGTTAAACAAAATTGTCTGTAATTAGCAAAACAGAAATTGTTGATAACGTATGATTTTGAAGGTGTGTGTCATTTTAAGTTTTAAAAAACTGATAAAAGATATTTAAACAAACAATATTCATAAATGTAATTAAATATTTAAATGTATATAAAACTAGAGGACAAAAATAAAATACAGAGACTGGTCATGCTTTACAAGCTTTAGGAGGAACGTCAAAAGTCTGCTTGCAAAATGACCAATATAAAAAGATATAAAGATTTGTTAGGAAGACATGCGCAATGATAGTATAGTGTGCACGTGGTTCGCAAAGGTTTGCTTGAAATAAAATGGATTTCATGAATTGATTCATTCAGCATTGTTCGAATCTACTGCATTCCACATCAGATGTGACACACAGATAAACTACAGACATATGTATAACCTGTTTTCATTTTTTGTCTTATGAAAGAACCGCCGAAATGAACGTGCACCGGAACTAGGTTTTCTCTTCGGGGAACAAGGAGACAGGAAATGACGTGCTAGAGACAGGATGTGCGACAAACCACTGAAACAATGGGTTACATTACCAGGTGCATGCGCAGAATACTGAAGTTGCATATCACATGGTTTGTGACGTAGTAGAAGAGGTGACGAGCGAGTAGAGGAAGTTTCCAAGGAATCAGAGGTAGAGGAACCTACACAGCAGAAAAAGGCAAACATTGGCTGGGAAAGCAAAACGTTCCTAAGCCATACATCACAGTTATATTTTTTTGTTCCTTTTTTATAAAAGTGTGCATTGATAGGCACTGTACAGCAATTAATCGGTAAGTTGTTTTTGATAATTGTTTATAATATAAATTCCAAATATAAATATACTATTGTAATATAGAATTTAGAAAATAAACCATTTTTCATTTAACTTTTTGTAGCATTAGAAGACGCTTTGTTTTCGTTCATAAAAACAATGCAAAACGGCTTGGTTTTTATTGCTTATAAATGTACATACAATTATCACTTCACGTTATCTTCTCTTTTCATTTTTTCAATAATTGTACCGATTCAGAAGTAAATTAGCTCAAATACTGTGTTGTTCAACGATAAATTTACGCAGAGTTTTAGATAAAGGAACGTCCCTTCAAAGTTTTGAATAAAAAGATCTATATCCAACTGGCATGCTTTTATTACAACTACATATTGATCAAGCTACATACAAACTACCTGGCAGCAAAAGTAGAGAAACAAAGATATCGCCAGAGTGAAAATAATGATGCAGTCCTCTAGGCTTCCTATTTATATGTCTTTTCTTTATCAAGAAACACTACAAATCAACTTTTTTAAATTTCACATTATTTCAGTATCTAGTTACTATATACCTTGATCTAAGTTACTGAATGAAAACAGCTTCTCTCTTGCTGGTTGACTTTAGCTCTGTCCAAAATGAAATAAAAACAAAATGAAAAAAGAAAAACATGCAAAAGTCAATGATAATCAAGCACATTGTGAAAACATATAAAGCAAGCAGAAGTTGGATTCAGACGGATAAAGCAATAGAAATAGAATATTTCCTTGAAATAAATATTACACAACTCACTACATGATTTAGAATCATCAGTGTTAAGGATCTTTAAAAATAAACAAAATTTATTTAAAAATTAAAGAGAAGGAACCATGCACGCGACACTGGACTGCCAAATCTTACGGTCTACATCCGCCAGGTTGCCAAGGGAACGCCTCCTTCGTCCCATGGCTTCAGGTTTGTCACCCTATTCCAAGAAAATAAAATAAACAGATAATACTGAATATTGTATTAGGTATTTCCAGCAACAATTCAACATTTCATAAATAAGTAAACATATACATTACAAAGCATGTTAAAAACGCCACTGACGCATATACATGTACTTGTACCAAGTTCAGATTACAAATATGCAAAAGATTTTCAATTTATTCATCATATTTTGAAATTGTACATATTTCTTTCACATTACAAAATTGTTGCATAAGGCATCTCAAATAAATAAAAAACACAAGATGTATACCTTTCGTCGTTGCATATTAGGTGAATCCCGAGAAGTCCTGTAGACGCTTTGCGATGTCAAATTCTTCCGTACGTCGTTCGCCCTGCCTGTAGGCGGCAGCACCGTAGGTTTTGGAAGTTCTACACCCCTTGTAAGATCGTGGTCTTGTAGGGGATACCAATGAGGCTCGTCATTTAGAAAACCCTCCACTAAAAATGCAATACAGTTTAAAATAGTTTAATACACAGTAACTACAAGTAAATACTACATGTATATAGTTAAATCTCTAGACAAGCTCAAATGTTAACAGACGTATTTCCGGTTATGTCCCAAAACAAAAAAAAAAATACATGTCGAAAAATTCGATTTTTACATAAAATTTGAAATAACATTTTGGTTCTTTTTTTTTGTGAGCATGCGCACTCACCTGACAGGTCTATGACGACTTCCCCCAGAAAGTCATTAGCCTTGAATCTATCGTAGTCCCACACAGTGATCTCCAGAGTCTTATATTTAACTTCTTCGTGGTGAAGGTTCTGGAAAATCACCGTCTGATGCCATTCCGGATTTAATGTACGGGAAATGTGTTTAGTTCTTCTCTTGTTCTCCGAACTTATCAAATTAAACATACAACTTCATATTTATCAGAGACAAACAGATTTTTCACAATACCATTTTACAATATATTACAGTTAAACGGATCGAAATAAATTAAAGTTTCCTAGAGAGATATATATATATATATATATATATATATATATATATATATATATATATATATATATATATATATATATATATATATATATATATATATATATATAAAACGAAGAAAAAAAGAACTATATGGTCTTTCTTCACTATTAACCACTTCTGACTTTAAACTTTGGGGAAAATATAATTCGCTGATTTCTCACCACCTTCCTGGCAAAAGATAGATTTTGACAAAGGGATCCGACTGTCCGTTAATGTCCTTGGGTTTTAAGTTCCGGGCCTGAATGACGTGGATATGAAGGGTACTCTCGTACTCGTCATGACTTAGTTGCAGCTATAAACAACACATCAAATCTTGATACACTGTTTTTCAAACAAAGCAAAATATTTTTAAGAAGATATCATTTATAGCATAACTATCAGACCATTTGAGAATTAATATTTAGATTTTAATTTTTATCACTTCTCCTAAATATGATTGTAAAAATTAACTATCAGACCATTTGAGAATTAATATTTAGATTTTAATTTTTATCACTTCTCCTGAATATGATTGTAAAAATATAATAAGTCAGCCAAAAGTAAAACTCACCTGAATCTCACCCCAGTCTTTTTCCTCTTGCTGTGTGGACTGAAACAAAATCGTACTTATTAGCTTTAAAAAAACTCACAGAGTGATTCTTCCATTCAAGAAAACAAAAGAAAGCTTGAGTTAGTTCCCTTAGTCTGGTGTTGCTAAAAGGATTTGAATTCCAAAAAGAAATAATCAAATAAATGATTTAGATGATTAAAATGAAATAAAAGAAATAAACAAAATAAAGTAATCGAGAGAATGTTCCTTGAAATCCTGAGATACCAGAGCTTTACGGAGGATTCTTATTAATCTTGAAAACAATTTGTATTTTATGTTTTGCAAAGCATAATTTAATAGTGTGAATACTATATTTTTCTCAAAGTCATAGTTGTAACCCTCCTTTAAGTAATATTTTTTTAATTATATACCAGAATCTACTTAGTTACAATGCAGCATAATGATCTTGCTGATTGCGAATGTTATTGGTATGATGTTCGCTTATCGACCCTATGATAAAGAGAGATAACTCTCACGGGATATAAATGACTAATATACCTTTACAAAATAATCAAGTTAAAAGACCATTTCTGTCACATGTTGTCCCCAAGGTATACGGGAATTGTGAATCTTAATATTTTTCAATGTAATAAGCATTTAAGTAAAATTTTACACATGACTGAAAGGAGGCATGATGAAGTTAATAAATTACTTTTGTCTTACACTTACTTTTCAATCATTAAGGGTCCCCTAACAAAAATTAATACTATACTATGGAAATGTCAAAAAAAAAAAAAGTTTTGAAGTCTCATAGAAAGTATCAAACATTTTATTATAGTTAACTATAGT